ACAACTAGGAGTTGTGATCACATACCCCATCGATCGCCAAGTGTGACGAGCGACGTGCAGGGGAACGCCCGTTGGGGTTACCAACTACTTAGACAGCCGGAATGTCCAAGTAATCGGGTAGAGTCGGTTGGAAAGGCAGCGTCGTCGGCACTTACTTTAGGCAAGAGTACACGCAGAAAAGGNGGAGCTGAGCTCGACTCAAGGTCACTGGACACGAGGTCGACAGCGACGCAATAGGCACCTAATGGACTCAAGGTCACACACTAAGTCCCCAAGACACAAGTTAGCGTAGTATCTAATACAGAGACGGTTACTCACCTAAGTCCCCAAGACACAAGAGGTCGAGATGGGGACTTAGGGCGAGCTACAGGGGTCTTATATACACAAATCCATGGTCCAAGAATAGTACAAGAGAATCACATGCAGGGCACAAGGATGAGTAAGACCGACCCACTTAGGTGGGTCAGGATTATGAATCAAGGAGTTAGAAGGAATAACGAGTCATTGTTCATGAGTAAGCGGAAGAAAACTCCGGTGGCTGTGCAGGGCTGTGCAAGGCTGTGCAAGGCTGTGCAGGGCAGTGTCAATGATGCTGTACTGCTGCCACTGAAGGTCACGTGACTTTGGAAAAGGAAAGGTGGGAAAAGGAAAATGATAAGTCCATATTTAGAAATAAAAAATGCGAAAATAAATTGTCCTTCTCTTCTCATCACAGGGGGCGCATACCTGTCTGCTGTGTTGCTGTTATGGTCAACGTCCATGGCTGAGTCTTCATGCCCATTTGTGGCCGGGGGGGGGGTATGCTCAGCGTTGTCGGTGGCGGTAGCAGTATTCGTTGGTAACCCCGGTGGACCAGCTATCAGCAGGTTGTGTCTCACGTGACTTTGGCTCTTCCTCTGCCCCTTTGTCATAGCACATAGCAGGGCAGTACATGGAATTGTGCGTGTGGTATTTAGAAAAGGAGTGTGCGTTATAGCAATGTAGTCCGGCAAAATCTAGGTATACACATCTGAAAAAATCTTGATCTATATAGCTGCCCCTCAGAACTATAGACACTATTGTCGTGCTAAGGATGCTATATAGAAGTCACCCAGTTGCTATATAGTGCTATAGTTGCTATGTAGAAGTAGGTCAGTTGCTATATAGTGCTATATAGTAATTATAGGTAATATAGTTCAAAGTACTAGCTACATAGTGATACATAGCTCATAGGTGCAGTCAACATAGCACCCATAGATTTGGTATGTATCTGTATAGTGGTGATAGCAGGGCTCCCAACTTACACCTACCATGAATCAAGTCAGTCTCAGGTCCTGAACTGTAATGTTAGCCTATACATTGTTAGATATATGCATGAATAAACAATATACAAGGTGGCTAAGTATCAAGGAGCTTGTGCTATGTGAATGGACACAGAGGCCAACACAGACTTAGAGATTCAATGCGAAATCATGCGTCATGTGACAGCCCAAGTCTGTCCCCTCCGGTTTGTCATCTTAGCCCACCGCACTGGCATCATCACATAAGGCGCCCTCACATCCCTCCCCGAGCACTCAAAGTGCCCGCCCCACAACTTTGAAGACTGCCCGCCACCAGCTGCCACCGCCGGCCCCTGTTGTCTGCCCAGCTCCGCCCGCCCTCATCTATCGCTCAGTGCCAAGCGTGAGCCACCAACGTGGTCATGCTTGGCGTCGCCTCCCTCCTTCGTGCTCCCCTCCGCCCAACGCTGAGCTCGAGCTGCGAACACGGTCAGACTCGACTTCCCCTCCTGCCCTCCTTCCCACAGCGCCGAGCATGAGCCGCCAACGCGGTTGCACTCGGTGTTGCCTCCCAACCTCTGGCCCCCCTTTGCCCTTCGCCGAACACGAGCGACCAATGCGGTCACGTTCAGTGTTGCCTCCTACCCTTGCACCCCCCCTTCGCTCAACGCTGAACGCGAGCCGCCAACGCGGCCGCATTCAGCGTCGCCTCCCACCCTCACGGCCCCCCTTCGACCAGTCCTGAGTGTGAGCCACCAATGCGGTCGCACTCGGGTTTGCCTCCCGCACTTGGGGTCACCTCTCGCACTCGCGCCCCGCCTCGCCCACCTTTGACCAACCCTGAGCCCAAGCTGCCAACGTGGTCAGGTTTGGCATCACATCCCCCCCCCACGCCCGCCTCTGACCAGCCTCTCGCCTGCCTCTCGCCCACCTTCTCACCCGCCTCCCCACGTCTCGCCGCCTTCTCGCGTCTCTCTCCCTGCATCTCGCCCGCCTCTCCGCCTCCCCGCCTCTTGCCGCCTTCTTGCCGGTCTCCCAGCCCCTCTCCGGCCTCCATTCAACGCTGTGCTCCCACCTCCCCGCCTCTCCCCCACCTCTCTCCCAGCCCCAAGCCCGAGCTGCCAACGCGGTCGCGCTCGGTGTTGCCTCCCTCCTTTACGCCACCTCCGCCCAGCACGAGCCAGTAACGCAGTCGTGCCCCTCCCGCTACCTGCCCGTCGCCTACCACCCCTCGCTCAGCGCCAGCACCCTCCCCACTCCCCCTATGGCTACGGGTGGCATATCTATGCTGCTTATGTAATCAATACATTCACTAGTAGTACTCGATACAATTTTGTCATCTATATAAAATATAATGAAAAATAATGATTTTTTACTAGAATTTGAATGATATATGATAATTTATTTTATTCAAATGACTACAATATCTATCAAGCATATGATTGCTGTAGAGTTTACATAGGATATATAGTGTCAGTAGCACTAAGGTGTGAGCTATATAGCACTGAGGTATGCCCTACATAGCTACTGTAGCCATGACAGTACCCTCTATAGCACCTATAGCACTATGATAGCATTGGCTGATGGATATTTAGCACGGGTAGCAAAGGACATTGCTATGGACCTATGGAGGCTATATGGGACTATGTAGTGCCATATAGTTATCTAGATTTTTTCAGATGCGTCAAGTATGACTCGGGCTTTGTTTTCAAGCTCTTCAGAGTAGGGCTGGGGTCCTAACCGGATGATGTGTAGTAGGGTCCCCCGCTAAGATTCAGATCCATCCCTCCTTGCTCACTCTCACCATGCGTACCCTAATTGTCTCTAGCAGTGGCTCAGACTTTGTACGACGATGAGCGAGCAGTCAAAACTGGGTTAGTACCAACTTTTTCGGTTCTGGAGGTGTCGTCCGTTGTGTTCTTTCCTCCAAGACGGCTTGGTTATCTTTTGTATCCACAGTCATCGGCTGTGTTTCCACCCGGCGGATTATCTCCATCTTCACCAGCTGCGGGGTTAGGCTCAGTCTAGCTTCGCTTCCAGATTTTGCCAGGACTGTACCAGCTCCCTATGGGCATCAACCCGCATTGCATCACTGTATAGAAACCAGCCTTCGGGGTGAGTGCTCCCATTTTGCCTTGTAATCGGGGTGGTGGTGCCAATGATCGATGCACCAGTGTTGGGGTTCTTTGACAATAGGTCTATGAGGTGTCGCAAGGGGGCTGGGGGTACAATTGGGGTGGCATCGTATGGGGTGAGCTCATTGGGGGGGGCATCATCCTGCATCATCACAGTATACTATTCTCCTCTGAGGGGTGTGCTCTTATATTTGCTTGTTTTTACGTCCAAGGCGTTCAGTTTTTAAAGCGAAACTTCTAGTGTCCTCGTTGTGATCGGCTTCAGCTCCTGTGGAGCGTCTATTCGCTTTAAGAGATGGCTGCTCACAGTGATTGGTATGTTGATTGCAGTAAGGCCTAAGCATGACAAATTAATTCTATATCTTATCGTACTCTCTCGCTATGCGTCTAGAGCGGGTCTGAGTCCTTCGGCGTTGGTCTAGTACTTTGCGTGATGCATTGTCGACGTGATAATAGTTTCTCACCCATTGGGCCATGCCGGTGTCTTTCAGCATGGCCACCCAAGTCATCCAGTTGTGCGCTGGGGCACCCGTCCTCCTGGACGTAGGGTTCTGTCGTGTTATCATGCATTCTGTAGTCTACTGCATCGCCGCATGCCTCTACGGCCGTGGCACTTCAAAAGAAACAAGGGGGGGCCAGGTGGTGTTCCTGTGAGCTGGTCCTCTCATCCCCTGCGCTACAAGAGCATGGGAGACCTCCGCCATGGTGGTGGTCAGAGGTCAAGGAGCCCCCTCCCTCATCACTTTAGTCGACTCCCTGCACCAAGAACTCAAGGCCCTGTTACAGAATCAATGTAAAAAAACGTAACCAAATTTGTACATACACACACGTGAGTATAATACTAACTATGAGTGTCTTAGTATCAAATAATGTGGAGAAAAGGATGTAGGAATGTGTGAGAATAATGCTGGACTGTAGAAGTTTAGAATGGACCATGTGATGTCCTAACTAACTAATCTTATATTCAGAAAACTGCTTTGCTGTAGTGCCATACTGGTGCAAATAAGTCTGACAATATTTGGAGGGATATGCAGCCTAAATGGCTCCCAGTCACATTAGGATCAAATTTCTGAAAATGGCTATACATGTAGACATGCTTTCCTAAGCATTTTTTAGGAGCTGAGCACATTAATTTCTAACTTGGTTGGCTTGGTCTTAACCCTTACATATGCACTAAGGTAATGTGCATGTAGGCCACCCAAAAACATGCTGGAGCTTCTTCTGTTGCCCTTAACCTTCATCTGCATCGCACAATACACAATCCTTTGCCAACTTCATCATGCCAGGACTGTCATGGCACACCTCCAGCACTCACCTTTTCCTATTCTCTGTGCACTCCCCAGATGCTCCTGCTATTCTTTTGGGCTTCCTAGGAGCCCCCCAGATGTTCCTTCTATTCTTTTGGGTCTCCTAGGAGCCCCGCGTGTTGCACAGGAGCCCTAGGCTGTCTACTGGTCACATGCCAGGCACCCAAGGAGCTTCCCTTTCTCTCATTGGACTATCCCTTGTTTCGTTGATGGATTACTCAGCTACTATATAGTCACCTGTCGCACCAGGGAGTAACTCAGACTTGATCTCTCGGTTGCTCCCCTGCCTTGTGCAACAGGTATGTATCCTTGTTGTATCTCTGTATATATGGTTGGTTGCTTCCTGTCAGAGTAAGCACTGGACCTCCTAGGAGCAGCGCAGATCCCTTGGGACGGCGGCGGAGACACTGTCGCACAAGGCAGGGAGGCAACTGAGTATATATACAAAGGTACGAAGGAAATACACATACCTGTCGCACAAGGCAGGGAAGCAACTGAGAGATCAAGTCTGAGTTACTCCCTGGTGCGACAGGTGACTATATAGTAGCTGAGGGATGGTCTAATATCACTGGGTGAAACAATGAGTTTCCAGAACCAGAAATTCTTTGGAAATGAGCTGGAATTTCTAAGTTTCTGGTGAGTTTTTAGGGCTGAAAATAGTATAGGTTTCGAGATAGCAAGCCTAGAAAATAAGGAAAAACCTGTACCACTTTTAGTCCTGAAAAGTCATCAGAAATTAAAAAAATCCCAGCTCAGTTCCCAATGAATTTCTGGTTCTGGAAATCTATTGTTTCACCCAGTGTCCTGAGAAAGCTTGGTGTGGGGTAGACTTGCATTTGCCAGGTACACATTTGTATGCACATTGTATTGCTTGCTCACATTTCCAGACACATTCACTGGGTCTGTGACTGGATTTTTAGTTCTAAAAGTGGTGAAAAAATCTTATAAAATTTCAAAAACTTTATAACATTTTTAGCCCAAAACATTCTGTAAAGATTGTGAACTGGCATATGAACTTTTACCTCAAAAAAATATGATCTCAATGTTGAAAAAATCCTGTGTCTCTTTTAAGATTTTTTTAAAAAGATTTCCTGCTATAAAAATCTTGAACCAGTTTGTCAACCAAGCAACTATATTGGAAAACTATTGATCTATGTTCTGAAATTTCCATAAATAAATGAGCCGCACTAGTTGAATATAAGAACTTTCTGTACATGAGTTTCAAAATTTCTACCTAAGAATTGTAAATAAATATACAAATAAACATTTTATAGAATCGTGGTTTCAAACTTTTAGAGCCAAAAATGCAAATATAAATAATGTAGAAATCATGATAAACTGATAAGATTTTTAGTTAAAACTTTTAGCTGTAAAAATGGATTAAAATCATTAATTCAGTTTAAGATCTTCTCTGTATAAAATCATGAAAAGATTTAAAAGATTGGATTCAAAACTCGACAAGCGCCACCGACATTGTCCGTTACTCTACGAGGTTTGCTGGCTCAGCTACGAAGGCACCTCCCATGAGAAATCGTGGATTCAAGCGTCAGAGCTGACTCATGCTCCGGATCTCGTTGCAGCCTTCGACGCTTGCTACCCCGACAAACCTGGACCGAAGTATTGATTGCATATACACCCCGCCTTTTTTGGTGTGGGGCTTACCAGGCACTGGGCTCGCCTACAGGAAACTCAAGCGACTATACTACACTACACGAGTTATTCCTCCGACTCCTCTCCTTCTTCTTCCTCTTCACCCTCACCCTCCTCCGACTCCGATCTGCCCTGCCTCGACGAACCCTCCACAAACTCCGCCACTTGACTCGTAAGGGCCTCCACCTGCCGACGCAGGTTGGCCAACTTGTCCTGGACCCGCTCCTCCGACCCGCCGACAATTCGCCTGATTTCATCCAGAAGGAACGAGTGGTCGTTGGACCACTCCCCCTGGTGCAAGGCCCGCTGCGCCTCCATCACCTCCGACCACAGGTTATCTTCGTTGTGGCGGGGATGGGTGGCCCAAGACTCTTGACAGCACGGAACGACAGCGCTGGTCATCAGAGTGTGCGGAGCGGCACTAGCGGTCGGGGCACGTGGGGTGGTGTTCGCAAACAAACACAACTTCTTGTTGCGTGCACAATTGCGGCAGGCTGTGGCCTTGCCTTGGGCGATGGGTGGCTGGCACTCCTTCTTCGTGGCCTTGCACTGCGTGCACGGCATATTCACCTCCGGCTACAAAATCGTCAAATCTGACTTCGGCATTTTCGGAGACAACTTACCTGCCACATTGTTGTCCTCGTCGACGACCAAAGCTGGCTCATTGTGCTTGGCCTGCTTCACAGGGGCTGGGTCGGGGAGCGACAGCTCTGTCCGATAGGTGACTCTAGAAATCGCCGAAAGTCAGCTCACGATCCCATGCCTAACCGCGTACTGGATACGCACCTTGCTCGACGCAGTGGAGACCTCGCTGCAGATCTCCACGTTGGACACGTTGTGCTCCGCAAAACCGCTCTCGCCGCACAAACCTGTGGTACTACCACCTCGACACGACCACTCCGCTTGGCCTCTGGCGCTTGAGCCCTTCCTTTCCCCTTACCACCCCTCTTCAGACGCTTCGGCGTCTCCTCCTCCTCCACCAGCGACTCCATTGGTTCTTCTTGGGGCGCGCGACACTCGCCGACACCGATTCCGTCGGATTGGCAGCCTCGAGGGCGTAGAGACGAGCTTGCAGCTTGGCGCGCTCTTCGGAGGCCGAGCAGACAAGTGGCTGGCTGGCGGAGATCTTCTTCTGAGGGTGGGGAGCCATAGCAGTTGAAGGCAAGAGACAAAATTCGAGTCATCTAGTCTGATCACTTATCCAGATTGATAGCCTCGAGGGCTCGGTGGCTAAGAGGGGGATACTGTCACGTGTTGATCCAGACTGATCCAGACCGATCCACTCCGCCGATCTTCACCAATCCACACCGATCCTCTCCAACCCGTTCTCTGATTCTTTGCCGACACCGATCCCGCCTTTCCCGTTTAGGTCGAGGGCGGGATACACCTATCACATGCACTGGGCCACCGGCAGCTCAACACCCCGGTGGTTCCAGATCTTTGAACGGATTCAACTCCGACTTTCCTGATTCCTGTTCTCTTTGTCTGACATCATAATTTCCCTTTGTAGACTTTAGTTTCCTGTCGCTTGCGACGGATCCTTCAGTCCGCCTTTTCCGTCTCTTCCTTAGATATGTTCCCTTTGTGCCCCATGCATTATCTCTCGTCTCCGTCTGTTACCTTTGTGCACCGAACGTCACCTCCGATCTCCGCATCTCCGATTTTCGCCATTGTTCTCTTTTATGTATTTAAACCGTCGAACTGTACCGTAGATAGTCAGTTCGAATATCGACTAAGCTTTGCTCTCTCTCTCTTGCAGACTCAGAGCACGTAGCAGCCTAGCGCACGAGCTTAGGCTTGGTCCGCATCCAATCTTGACTTCACCAATGCTTCCGACTTATTGACTCAACGCCGACGTGTCTCCGACTCCGCTCCGACTCTACCCTTTGAGTATCTCCTTCTCTTTCCTTCTATTCTTTGTATACACGTTTCGGACTTCGGTCCTCCGACCTTATTCCCCTTGCTTGTATCCGATCTTGACACAAGGCCACCTCTGAGGTTGGCCCCCGGCTCTCCCCAGACCGCCGGACAGCCCGTCCACGTCAATTTGGCTGGCAATGCAAGTGTCTCCTCGTTGCCAGAGCCCTGCAACATCCCCATTCGCCTCGCCAACTCCATACTCGTCTATGCCGTCGGTGTTGGCTCCGTTCGCTTCCAGCCGGTGGTGGAGGGTCAGGAAGCCCGTCTGGTGGAGTGGACCAGGGTACTACACGTCCCAGAGCTCCGCTCTAACCTCCTATCAGTCCTGTATCTCACTCAGCACAAATCCATTCGTGTTGTGATCACCAGGGGCGTTATGGCCTTTGTTCGAGGCACCACCACGCTGTTCACCGCGTCTGTGAGCGATTCCAACGCCGCCATCGTCAACGGGCGCACCCTGCCGGCCCTGGAGCACGCCCAGCCCGCCAGCACCTGCGCCTTAGACCTCGAGCTCTGGCATCGGCGCTTCGGGCACGTCAACGTCGACTACGTGCGCCGGATGCTGAAGGAGGACAGTGTCTCTGGCCTCAAGCTCCAGACGCCATCTGCGAGCCTTGCATCTCCGGCAAGCTGCACCGGCCTCCTGTGCCTCTGAGGGCCTCCCGGGGCGCGTCAGAGGCCCTGGGTCTCGTTCACATGGATGTCCACGGCCCTATCCCTGTCCAGACGCCTGAAGGGTATCGATACTGGGTGATCTTTGTCGACAATGCCCACCGCTTCTGGGTGGTGGTGCTGCTCCGGCGCAAGAGCGACGCGTTCCAGGCCTTCCTGTGCTTCAAGGCCTTTGCTGAGCGGCTCACCGGACGCAAGATTGGCGCACTGCGGGACGACAAGGGTGGCGAGTTCATCTCGAAGGAGTGGGACGACCTCTGCACCTCCGAAGGCATCCGACGCGAGCACAGCGTCCGCAACGAGCCCCACCAGAACGGCGTCGCCGAACGCGCCAACCGGACTCTGGCCGAGGGCGCCACGGCTCTCCTGACCGAGTCCAACCTGCCTCCATCGTTCTGGGGCCTCGCCGTCGCCGCCTACGTCCATGCGCACAACAGGACGCCTTCCGCTGCCCTGCCCAAGGGTGCAACACCCTACTTCGGCTGGTACGGGATCAAGCCCTCTGTGGAACGCCTTCGGGTCTTCGGGTGCGTTGCCTACGTTAATATCCAGAAGGACAAGCGCCGTGGCCTCTCCTCCCACTCTGAGAAGTGCATCTTCGTCGGCTACGCGGAGGACTACAAGGCCTGGCTCTTCTACAACCCAGACACCCGCAAGCGGATCATCTCTAACGCCGCTATCTTCGACGAGCGGTACTTCCCCGGAGCGCGTTCTACCGCCAGCTGGGACTCTGCTGCATCCGACTTCCTCCTCCGCGCCCTGCCTTCGCTGCACGGCCCTCCTGGCTCTCCTCCTGACGCACCTGCGCCGGTTCCGGGGGGAGATATGGCACCACCGCCGCTTCAGGATGCTCAGGACATCCCTGAACCGGGGGGAGATCTGGAACCGCCCCATGTGCCGCCTGTCGCTCCTGCCAGAGTCCAGATGCCTCCGCCGTCTCCTCGGGCTTCGTTCTCGCCTCCCACTGGTTCTGCCTCGCCTGAGGCCTCCCCATCGCCTGTCCCTCGCTCTGCAGCGCCGTCACCGGACCCGGAGCGCCCTCCTACGCCTCCTGAACGCCCTCCGACTCCTCCTCTGGCACTCAGACGCGAGCGCCGTGCACCCAAGCCTGTGCAGCCTTGGTGGATCGTCCCCTCTCGCTCTCCGGCCCCTCAGGCCTACAGGGAGCCCACTCCAGCCATCGAGAGCAGCGAGGACGAAGACGACACCTCCTCCGAAGATCCCCTGGCTGCTGCTGAGCCAGAGGACGCCATGCTGGTGCTAGCTGGCCTCGACACCGTCTACGCCGCTCCTTCGTCGCCGGACCACCTCTCCTTCCCTCAGAGCCTCGAGGCCGCCTTCCAGACTTGCGCACTGAAGGCTGAGGCGCGAGGCAACGAGCCTAGGTCTTTCCGTGAGGCCATGAAGCGTCCTGACTCGGATCTCTGGTACAAGGCCGCCATGGAGGAGATCGAGGCCCACATCGCCAATGGGACTTGGGAGCTGGTCCAGCTGCCTCCCGGACGCAAGGCCATCGGTTCCCGCTGGGTTTTCAAGGTCAAGCGCAAGGCCGACGGTTCTGTGGAGCGCTACAAGGCCCGCCTCGTCGCCAAGGGCTTCAGCCAGCGCCCCGGAGTCGACTTCGATGAAACATTTGCTCCTACAGCCAAGTGGGCCGCTCTCCGCGCTATCCTGGCCATCTGCGCCCTCGAGGACTGGGAGGCCGACTCGGTGGACATCTCCAACGCTTTCCTCAACGGCGATCTGGTAGAGGAGGTCTACATGGACCAGCCCGACGGCTTTGAGCAGGGTAAGCCCGGCGTCGTCTGCCGGCTCCGCAAGTCTCTCTATGGCCCCAAAGAGGCTCCTCGCGTCTGGAACCAGAAGCTCGACGCCGCCTTGCAGGAGATGGGTTTCTCCCGGGTCCGCTGCGACAAGAGCATCTATGTCTGGGAGCGCGACGGTGTCAAGGTGATTGTGCCGGTGTTTGTGGATGATCTGACCATTGTCTCCAAGAGCAAGGAGGCCAAGAATGCAGTCATCGAGGAGCTCTCCCGGCGCTTCAAGCTTCGTTACCTGGGTCCGATCTCGCTCCTACTCGGCGTGCACATCACCCGGGACCGCCCCAACCGCACCATGACTCTGGATCAGCGCCAGTACATCCTCGACATCCTCAACACCTACGGCTTCAGCACCTGCAGCCCGGTGAAGACTCCTATGGACCCCAATCTCCGCTTGTCGACCTCCATGGCTCCCAGCACTCCTGACGACGTCGCTTACATGCAGGACAAGCCCTACGTCAGCGCCGTGGGTGCCCTGCTCTACCTGGCGATCTGCACTCGGCCAGACATCTGCTACGCCGTCGGCGTTCTCTCTCGCTTCACCAGCAACCCTGGACCGGCTCACTGGAAGGCCGTTAAGCACCTCTTCCGCTACCTGCGGGGCACCATTGACCTGCGCATCCGGTACGCTCCTGACGACTCCGGCGAGCTCTTCAGCTCGTTCTGTGATGCTGACCACGGCGGCAACCCGGACAACGGTCGCTCTACCTCTGGCTACATCCTCAAGGTTGGCACGGGCGCCGTGAGCTGGAGCTCGAAGCTTCAGACCGTCGTGGCTCTCTCCACCACTGGCTCCGCAACCTCCTCACTGAGCTCGGCTTCAACGTCAGCTCTTCCTCTATGCTCCGGATCGACAACCAGTCCGCTCTCTCTGTGGCGAAGAACCCAGAACATCACGGGCGCATGAAGCACCTCGACCTGGCCTTCTACTGGCTTAGGGACGCCGTTGAGGCGAAGAAGATCTCTGTCAGCTACATCCCCACGGCGGAGATGCCCGCCGACTTGCTCACCAAGTCTCTGGATCGCTCGAAGGTGGAGGTTTGCAGGAGTTTGATGGGATTGGATTGAGAGTTGCCTCGTCAGGGGGGAGTGTTGTCTGTGGTGACTTGCCATCTCTCTGGCGCTTATTTCGCGTGGCTGTGGCCGATTTAGCTTGTAGGCTGTGCTGACAGTTTTACTGGAGAGCCACAGACGAGTTGGGCACTTCATTCTGCTCACTGTCTGTGCTCTCCAGGTAGGATAGCCCTCTCCATGTATTTACTTCATTCTGCTCACTGTCTGTGCTCTCCAGCTCGTTCACGAGTGTTGTCCAGCTGCTAGACGCCCTTAAACAACACCCACCGGACCAGGCAAGGCTTGGACGGCAGGTTTCTGCTCGTCTTGGGGGTGTTCCGGGGGCGGTGGAACCACTCCCACCTGATCCGGCAACTCTGAAGGCAACGACTCGAGCAAGAAGTTCTTGGAAACGTCCCATGCGGCCGACTTCAAACCCGGAAAACTGCGTTCATCGAAGACGGCAGCATTGGAGATCACGACTTTCTTCGTCTCCGGGTTGTAGAAGAGCCATCCCTTGTACTCCGAGGGATAACCGATGAACACACACTTCTGGGTATGGGATTGAAGGCCACGGCGTTGGTCCTTCTGTACGTGCACGTAGGCAGCACATCCAAAAGCCCTCAGGTGGTCCACATCCGGTTTCTCCCCAAAGAAGGCGATGTAGGGTGTCAGAGACACAGGC